TGTGTGCGTGTGTGTGCTTGTGTGTGTGCGTGTGTGTGCTTGTGTGTGTGTGTGTGTGTACCTGGTATGGGTCTGTGTTGAGGTCAAAGTACTCCAGGAATCCGGTGGCAAACTCACAGAACAGGAAGTTGTGGGTCTCGTTGATGGTCCTCAGACACCAGTAGGTGTTGTTGTTGGCGCTGGTGCAGGCGCAGAATGAACCCACTGCAACACACACACACACACTTAGATGCCATACAGTAAAAACGCATATTCAATATATTACAAATATGAATAACTGTCTTGCAATGTAGAAGAGTGTGAGTGTGTGTGTGAGTGTGTGTGTGTCGTACGTGTCCAGTAGGGCGCAGTGTGCCAGTGCTGGTTGTCGTGAGTGAAGCAGGTGAGTCCGGGCATCGAACACGTGTCGTTGTTTCTGATCCTCTTGATAATCTTCCTCATTTTCTTCCTCCTCTTCTGCTCCTTCAGAAGCCACGCCTTCTTGTCCCGAGCCCCGCCCTTCCTGCACACACACACATGTAAAACACACACATTAAACACACAATAATAAAGCACACACGTACACACACACACAGTCTGGATCACACTGACCCAGACTGGGACAGACCAGGTCCTTCTGACCCAGACTTGACCCGGTACAACTGACCCAGATTGGGACAGACCAGGTCCAACTGACCCAGACTGGAATAGACCTGATGCAACTGATCTAGACTGGAACAGACCAGGTACTACTGACCCGGATTGGGACAGACCAGGTCCTGTTCCTGATGATCCATCTCATGCTCAGTAACACAGAGAGTCTTTCTGTCCGGTGGACAGTGAAGGTCTCACCTGAAGGGGTGTCCTCCTCTGAACCTCATCTTGTTCTTCACTTTGGACTTGTACCTGTAGAACACACTCGTTAACACCATGACGGGCCTCTGGTATCACACTGTGTGTGTGTGTGTGCGTGTGTGTGTGTGTGTGTGTGTGTGTGTCTCACTCACAGGTATTTATTACAGTCACACTCCAGGGGGCGGGCCTTCTTCAGGTGACCTCTGACCTCTCTCAGGTTCTTTATCTTCGTCTGCAGCGTCTCAATCTAAAGGAAGAGAAAACCTTCAGAAGTCCAACAGACTCAAGGACCTACAGGACATTTAAAGGGTGTTGGTCCTCCACTAGGAGGAGGTATTGGTACTCTTTATGTATACAGAGAAACTGTTCTGATGGTTGATGGATGTGAGTACCTCGTGGTCGATGTGCAGCTTGTGGTCCTTCCAGGCCTGCAGAGTCTGATAGAGTCCAGTGTCACACTTCACGGTGGCGTTGGGCAGAATGGAACATCTGCAGTGAAACAACATAATCCTGTTACAGTCAACATCTGGACTTCACGGAAGCTGACACTTCCTTTGTAATGATGGAGCAGACTTTCACACGTTTTCCCTGGATGTGTGTTTCTTTAATATCTCACAGCTGGTGGATTCAGCAGAGCAGTGTGAGCTGTCAGAGACTCCTTCCATCTGTGCTGATAATTCTCATTCGTCATAATTCATCAGCCGTTATACAACATTCATCTCCCACCACAATGTGTAGTGAGGTAAGAGGTGTTAGCAGCGTAGAGGACAGTTGAGTCTAAGGACAGTTTAGACTCAGATCAGAGATGAACCAGGGCTGTAAACAATCAAAGTCATTGTTTGCTCAGGAAGCTTCCTCACTGTTTAAGATGTCCTCCATGATAAGAGCTGTTTGACTCCTCTAAATGCTGAGGAAAGGTGCTTCAATACTTCCTTTCCTATCCCCTTCAGCATAGGAAACACTGCACCTTCCTCTACCAAAGGAAAGAAGATAATGCCGACCCACAATTCCTTGCGTGGCAACATTTAAAGTGTCGCATCATGAAAAACTAACGATATGTTTATCTTACACAGGTTTAACAATTATACTCATACAGTCATAAAGTAATAGGATTCATGTTGATGGATATGAACAGACAGCAACAATCCTTTAGTTTCATTTTGTACTTCTCTATTTACTTCAAACGTGTAACAAATATGTAAAGAAATAAATAAAGCAATAAATAAAATGAAGATTAAATACAAAGAACTGTCAATGAACAAAAAGCATCGGTAAAAACAAGCCTTGACCCGAGGATGTCTTCCATAGAGGTCAAGGAGAAGTGGTTAGGAAAGGACGTTAGGAGGTAATTGTTTTACTTTTTGACACCTTTCATGACTGACGTACAGTAACAACACGACTCACCTGTGTGTGACTTTGTGGGAGTTGGGCGGGGCCACGGCGTTGGAAACTCCTCCCATCCCGCTGAACTCGTCCTCAGACTCGTCTCTTATTGGCTGAGCCCCGGCGCTGCTGTCCACCAGGCTGTGGTTACCGGGGTAGCTGTTCATCATGGATGCGGAGCGGCTGTACCGGTTCCTGGAGTAACTCTTCAGGGCTTTGAACTCTGACACACAAAGAAGCAGAAAACTGTAATATCATAACTAATCAGACTTTATCAACAACTACTGAAGCATCCTCTCATCTCTTAAGCAGCGTTTCCTCGTTTCCTGGAAACAAACGAGGAAAGAGGAGGCGGGGCTGTTCAAAGTTCCTCCTCACTGAGAGCTGAAGTATCTATGTGACCAGGGAGGTGATGCAGTTCACACCTCGGACACTAGAGGTCAGCACTACGTCAGGACACCAGGTGAGCCGACTGAAACCGCTCCAACAATCTGGTTCTTCAATGAAGCAAACAGGAGCAATAACAAACACAAGTGAATATTGTTTTACAATAACAATCTTGTAATACCAAAAGTACTTAATGTCAGTTATCAACTGGGGAAGTTTCAGGTGATATCTGTTAGTCAACATTGTTAAGCCTCAAACTTCATAGAAATCGGACACGTATACCAATAATAAGCACATCGTGTGCAATATTCCTTTTTTCAACATTGTGCAGTATTACATTTCAATTTCATGTGCAATATTATTTATATTAATCCATTTTTCTTTTTCAATATCATTGACAATATCTCCCTCAATATCAAGCTCAATATTCATTTTATATTTTAGTTTCCATAAGGCTCTGGTGTTAGTAGTACTTCTTACTTTACATTTTTTATTTTAGTTGACATTTTTGCTTTATGTATTTACTTTACTCTTATTGTTATTGGGTTTTGTTTTGCAATGGTGTCACTATTATTTATTTTACACTTAATAAATTGGTATTCTATTGTTCATTTACGTTTATATTTTCATTCTATTGTTTTTTGCTATTTTTCTGTTGTAATCTATGAAACTTTGGCACAAGAATATCCTTTGGAATGAATATAGTTCTATCTTATCTTATAAGAAGACATCCTCAGGTAACAGTGATGTATTTCCCAGGAAGCAATGGTGGTAAAACAAGAAGACGTTCAACCCTAATAATCCCCACTGCCCTCTGCTGGACTGGACAATCATCACTCACTCTTCTTGGAGAAGAAAGGCTTCTTGTTGAACGGTCTCATCGTAGAGGGTCTCGGCGGGCTCAGAGGCCGGAGGTCACGGAGGTCACAGTCGCATGCGTCGGCGTTGCGATGGTACATCTGAGACTTGATGCTGAGTGGACGCTGACGAACGACCACGCCCCTCTGAATGCTCTTAGCCCCGCCCCCTTTGTTCTTGCACTTGAAGAGCCGAAGTTTCCCCGTGGCGTCCTCCACACACTGCCACTTCTGCACACAAACACACAAAGGGTAAAGATGAACACTAGCATGAGCTTCACGGTTGTCAAGACGAAAGAGAATATAAACTACCTCATGACTGAGAGGTTTATACCTGCCTCTCTACACCTGGCTGGACATTTGGAGAATCCAATTCAACAAAGTTGGGTACATTTTACGAGTATGTCGATCTTAACGCCCCTCGAACACCTTCGGGATAAACCTGAACTGAAGAGGAGCATCATTGTCAGCTGAATTCTCCACACTATTCACCAGAAAATCCTCACTTTGTCTTTGGCATTAATTATTTGTTTGTGTTGTCACAGTTCATTAGCAGCAGCTGAATACATTTCTACTGTTGAGAAAATGCCTGAATTCTAAATTTCACTTAAACACACACACACACACACACACACACTCACACACACACACACACACACACACACACACACACACACCATCTTCTACAGGCTGTTTATCAGAGCCATCCAGCAGCCGGCTGACACTGTTGCTAGGAAACTAATCAGCTGGCTAAAAGGATTTTTCGACAAGTGTAATTAACTTCAAACAAGCATGAACACACACACACACACACACACACACACACACACACACACACACACACACACAGTGACACAGCTCCTGAAAGTTTCCATCTTGATTCTCTTCACGTCTCTTTCTCTGTGATTGTGCAGCCTTTGCTCCATTGTGCTCTGTTCTACTCATTAGTTGCTGTTGTTGTATCTGTCTGGTTTGTGGAGATGACATCTGGTTTTCATCCCTCTGACAGAAGCCTCTCACTGTTCTACTCTGTTTCTTTCAAGTCTTTTGTTTGTTTATTACAGCCAGCAGCCATCGCAGCTTTCCTGCCTTTATTACAAGAATGTTTTTTTGTTGAAGATTGTTCTTGGGGAGGAAAAATCTGTTAAATTTAGTGAAAGGACTAGGATCAGGAGGACAGTAATGGGACTGGAAGGACTAGGAT